ATCAAGCCAGCCAGCCCAGGACAACTGAAAATCTGTGTTACTGACTTCCTCACAAACCTACTATAGCTGATAGAAGAGTTTGGGACATGAGCGCATCTCTGGCTAAAAGCACAAGGAATCCAGCATTTAAGTATTGCTTTTACTTTTCTGCCTCCATCATAGTAGTCATAAAACAACTGGGAATCTCAAGTCATCAGAAGACAAATAATTCAATTCCCAGCTACATTGCAGATGTCTTGTGTGACTTTGGGAAAGTCATTTAATTTCTCCAGTCTGACCTGTTCCCCAGTGAAGTCACCTGCAGGCTTCTTCTGGCTGACATAAGTCACAGTTATTGCTCCTGTTTCTCCATCACTGGACTGGAAATAAATAGTACTTCCCCGCTTCACACAGCGTAAATGTCACACTGCTACCTGGTTTGAGTTACTGAAATGATTTTGTGATGTGGCCCTCTACATAGCTAGAAAAGTGCAGTTCCTTAAAGTACAATGACCTCCAGAGTGCAGGGGAAAAAAAAAGACATCTAATATGAGCATACAGTGTAATCTTTGAAGGAAAGCATAATCTTATTACGCAAACAAATGATCTTTTTCATAGCAATAATAAGGTTAGGATGTGGCATATCAGCATTTTTTAGACCGAAATTTGCTGTGATGCCAGTTTTAATATCCATAATAAATTGTTCTTGCTTGGAGCATAAAAACTGCCTACCTACAGTGACAGAACATTATGAAAGATGAGATTATGCAAAGAAAAATTATGCCAATGACAGGGATACTTGTGAAAACAGATCTCTTTCAGTAAAAATTTAATATTACAGGTTTCTGTTTCAGCAGCCTTTTGTAAACTCTATTTAAGAAAAGTTTTGTTTTGTTTTGTTTTGTTTCCCCAAATCTATTTTTATATTTCGTGTGGAAGAATCTACATGACCCCTATATGCACCACAGAGTTCTTGTCATCAAGTACCAGCATTGTTAGAAGTTGGAAAAGTGACCTCTCTGCACTGTCTGCAGTACTTTGCTTTTGTCCTTATATAGAATACCAACTCTACATCTGAATAATCTAAGTTACATGCTATATAACCTGACCCCCACCCTGTGTGTCTTTTTCCTCTCCATTTATATTGCAAGTTCATCAGAGCAGAGATGGCCTTTTGGGCTTTATATAGCATCTGGAATAAGTTAACCCTATTACCTTCATGCCAGTAATAATGATGATTAGAAGTGGAATGGTAAATTCAAGAAGATACCATTAATCTGCCAAAAAAACTTGCTGATAATTTTGTTAAGGTTACTGGTATCCATAGGACTTTCAGGTCTTTGACTTCATTGCACGGTATAGGAATCTGAAGATCGAAAGGGTAAATTAGCATATTGGTCGATTGCGTATGACTTTGGAATCAGAGTTGTCTTAGGGCAGATGTTACCTTCATGTATTTTGGGTTTTTTAATATTTTCATCCTGAGAAATGCACTTTTAACTGTTGTTAACTCTTAATTAAGAAAGTCAGGTATGTGAAGATACACTGACAGGTTTGATTTTTTTCCTGCCTGCATGTCTAAGTGCTCACTTTTCCTAATGCTGCTCGCTTTGAGGAGATCGCGCACAACATCCTGTTATCCAGAACATGTAGTTTTGTTGTAGCCAAGCTGAGTTAAGGCTAGAAGCAAGGTAAGGCTTGTAGGGAGGGGTAATATCATCTGTTAAACTAATTGATTCACTTGGGAAATACTGACTAGACATTCACTTGGAGAACTGGAGAGAAAAAGTTTGCTAGAACCTGTGGAACAGAGTGGGTTGTTATCAAGGAGAGAGGTGGTAACAGCTATTACTCCTCCTGGGACAAGGGCAGGGGGGCAAGGATGGGATGAACATCCTGTGGGATGGGGAGATGTTCAGTGTAATTGGCCTGTGAGGCATATTCCAGTGTGACATAAAATTACTCCTTCTGTTGAATTCCCAATTTTTAGTACTCTATAAACCTAAATTTTTTGATTTCCAGGCCCATATTTTGAAGGTAACTTGTATATTTATATTAAATGTGAGTGAATCTCTCCACATAATACCTCATTTAAAAGTTCTGCTCCCTTGTCTTGACCAGGGAATAACAACCTGTTTTTAATTTGTTGAGTTCCTCTTCCTTATGTGACTCTGAAGGAAACGTTAAGTAGCTTGAAATCTTTCTGAGACAGGTTCTCTAGTGACCTGGACTTTTTAAGCTGGAATCAGGCTGCAAGCAGCTGGTAAGAATTCTGACTGGTTTGGAGGAACGCCCAGCTGGTCAGAACAGTCCCTTGGGCAGATATTCTTTGTCTAGGGTGTATGTCTGGGGATAAGAGGAAATGGGAGGAAGTGCCAACACATATTTTCAGCTGCAGTAGGAACCAGCAGAATGTTATACCAACGGTGTAATTTTAAAGTAGCTTTCAGCTGTCCTAACTCCTCTGCAAGGCTATGGTGTTTTTTGCTTTTTTTAAAGTGCTTGCTGTGTCCCACAAAAAAATCTGTTATTTCCTCAGGTGTGTCTCATTGGTGACTGCATAGGAGGAATTTTGGGTTTTGATGCCATCTGCTATAGTGCTAATGTGGCTGATGAGAGTCAGAACAGCAGCAGGAGAGGAAGCATCAGCAGCATCCAGGTAAAGAGGGAAAAAAAAAAAACTCAGCTGAGACCCTGGAGATTAATTCCCTGAAGGAAATCGGGTCCATATAAACCGGAGATATTTAGGGATTTGGTAAATAGCAGTGATAGCACAGGATTTTGCTCATAGGTCAAAAAAATGCTGTCTGAAAATGAAGTCTGCAGCTTCAGTTTTATGGTACACAGAAATCGCTGGTTAAGGCTTTATTGGTAAATCCTTAAAGTAGGGCCACAGAGTGCCTTTTATTGTATGCCTTATTGTGGATGTAAAGGCACCCTCTCGGTAGTCTCAGGCTGCTGTTTTTTGCTAAAAATCTTTTTTTTAATTGATCTCCATTATGCCTGGAATTCCTTATGCTCCTTCCTGTCAGTAATCTAGAATTAGGATGTAATCATGATTAAATTTTGGTGGCTGCTGGAAGGAGGCCTCATTTATGATGAGGAATGCCAATCAGCTGAGGATGTGTGAATGGACCACTGAGCATAACACAGAGTCTAAATGGATTCTACATCTGGAGAGAAAGGAGGATTAGTTCTGACTGTGATCCAAGAAAGGATTTATGCTAGCATTTAAATTAATTAAAATTAATGCTAGCATTTAAACTGCGTTATTGTGTGTACCATTTAAGAAAAAAAAAAAGGAGTTCAACTAATCTGATGTACTTCAGACTCAAGCAGGGATTGAGAGGTGATTTGGTGTATTAGAGTGTGGGCATTGGACAAGGAACCCAAGCTCCGTTCTTTGATGGTTTTGGGACCTTGGCTAAATTGTTTCATCTTTTGACTCTTTAGTTCCCCCTCTTCTCAAAAATGGGCTCAGTGATACCAACTTCTTTGGTTCATTTTGAGAACTATTTATGAAAGGACAGTATGTGAACGTGGTAGTACTCTCATGCAAAGAGGCATCCTCTTAATGTTTCTATGAGGAGAATTATCCTCCGTTAATAACACAGCTCTGAATTCTCAGCAGCCAACCTTTAACAGTACCAGCACTGAGGACAGCACATTGTGTTCGCTGAACAGTTCACAGCTAGAGCTTTCTAGTTCTAAAGCACTAGAAACTTTTTTTGGCAAGAGTGGGTCTGTTTTAATTTGTCGAGACAATGTAAATAATGAATTACAATGGTACATTCTACTACTACCATAGATGAATGAATATTTGTTGGTTCATGTGTTGCAGTCCGTTCTGTCTTCTAGTTTCCAATATTCACTGAATAATCAAGTGAGGATTATCCATAATGGGTAGAGATTTCTATGGGATATGTAGAAATGTGCATGATTACTATGATAATGTTGATTTATTGTGTGTATACGCCTCTGTAGTATTTGAGAATTTACCTATATATTCAATGAAAGAATCTGCAGTATAGCAAATGTCACTCTGCTCAAACTAGAGCCCTGCCCTGGGCTCTGGTAACTTCTGCCCTTTAAAAATCAGTGACATTTGTAAATATTGAAATGCTTAACAAAGAAGGCCAGTGTTGTCATCACAATATCACACCTTTGGGTAAGAAAGCTGAGGGTTTGTTTCACATGAACGAAGGATGCATAAAGGATATCTGTGGGTGGCTGCTTCAGATCCTGGTATTTGTACCGTTTTACTGCAGATGAAATTTTAATTGTGGCATTTGCAGGATCTGAGAGAGCTTATAGCACTGGAAAACAGACTTTTTACTTGTTTAAAATGCAGTGAATAGTCTCAGTACTGATCACCTCAAGTTGCTTTTAATGTAGTGTCTGATGTTTAGCATATTTTTGAGAATTATTTCACACTCCCTGATCTGGCTAATGTAAATGCTGAATTGACTCAGACTCTTTTATGGTGTACAAGAAAAGACCCTGTCACGAAAGCAAACCTAAACATTGAAACCAGTAAGATTAAAATCTGACCCTGTTTTTCCAAGTTGAACAGATTTGCATATGGGATTTTTTTGTACAAGATTAAAACAGAAAGGGTGGTATTATAATAATATAAATTTGAACACTTTCTTTCTCCATGGTCTCACAGGGTGCAGACATTTTGACATACTCTTAGCATCTGATGCAATTTTCACCATTTTGATATAGAGAAGGCCCAGACGGCTTAGAGAAGTTTAATTGCTCAGTAAGAGCTTCTCTCCCCCAGTTATCTTCTGCCTCTGTGGCACAAATGGTTGTCCGGCTTTTGCCATTGAATGGCTGTTCAGTAACATTTGTGAAGAGAATTTTGTTCCAGTTCAGTCCCCAAGGGGCAAATTATTCATATGATAGAAGCCAGCTCCAGAGCTGGCACTAACAAGCTCCCTGCTTCCCCTTTCTCAGCAGCAGGACTGATTATTGGCACAGAAGCCAGGCAGTCCTCTGGGCTGCTGAGGACTATAGGCAGGGCACTGTGGGAAGACTCATGTCATAGCTCATGTAGAGCTCACGTCTCTGGTTTCATTATCCAGCAGCTCATCTGCATAATTCTGGAGAACAAATTAGACTCTTCTGCACTCTTGAAATAAAATCTCACCCCAGGTGCACAGGGCTTCTAATGAGCTCCAGTGCTGAGTGAGGTTATGAGGAATGCCTGGCCTGTGAACTTGTTCTCTCCCTAGCTCCCGAGAAGTAGTTCCAGTTACTAATTTTCCGTAATCTGTCTGCATTACCTTGGCCAAGTCTCTTGATCTACCACGCCTCAACTCTCTGTACACCTCGCGCTCTTTCTCACAGCCTGTCTTGTCTATTTAGATTTTCTATGCTTTTCAAGTTGCTTGTAGGCATTGAGCACGATAAAATCTATTTTTGCTTGGGATGTTTACTGTAACGGATTGTAAAGAGTGTTCCAAAGGCCTGTCAAGTGTAATTCAGTGGCGTAATGCAGTGCCCAAGATCAGAAGTGGGGGAGAAAATGTAAAATAGGGTGGGGAGAGCATCATATTCTACAGGGAAAAAGAAAAATTAGAAATCCTGTTCTCTGGTAAAATGACTAGCCAATTTCCCAGTGACCTTCCCTGGAGAAGTCCCACAGAGATTTAGTCCCTTTTTCTTCTAAAACTGCTGATTCCTTCCCTCACTGAAATGTCTGTGAAATGCAGGTTTTGTAAGACTCGTTTTATCTATAGAAAATGAAGTTTAAAATGAGTTGATTCTTACCGAAGAAAATGAAGGATCCCTTCTGCAGAGCAGTAATAGCATGCCATATCCTATTAAATAGTTTTAGCTGAATGTTTTTCTTTCAGATAAAAAAAACAACTAGCGTTCTACTGTATCTCTGACAGAAACATCATGCCCAGTAAATAAATAGGCGCAACTGAAATGCGAGGTTAACCTTAATAGTAGCAGTGAGGAGGAAGGGACTTAATGTTTTTCCCACGTGATATTGTTCTGAGACTGTCAAACCCATGCAGAATTTGACCTATCTGAGATTGTCTTGTGACATAAGAGAAGGACAAGCCTTCTGCAAGGTGAACTGTTTAGTGAAGCTTGGTGGACAAAGGTGAATTGCTGCCAGCTTTCAGTGAAGATGATGATAACTTCCATTACTAAGCAGCCCTATTAGTTTGTTCTGTGGTGACACAAGTTAGTTTTTTAAATACTGTGGAGAAATATGTTTGTGACTCCAAGAAAACTGGAGTCAACTCCAACTGCCAACTCCATGCCTTTCAAACAGTCAGCCCTCTTCCCTAGACCCTCAGGAAAATAAGATACCAAAACCAAAATATTTAATCATATTGAGTTTTTTGCATCAACTTTCTTGCCCTGGCACCTTCAAGTGTTCCCATTTTTCATACTCCATTGACGTGAACTTACTTATTAAAAAGTAACGGGAGCTGAGGTGCTGATATATCTGCCATGTCATTCACACAAAGAGAGCCTTAAATTGTCACCAGGGTTTTGATGAAGTTCTGAAACTTGACAACACTGATATGGTTCTCAGAAATTACTGATGGTATGGTGTTTAAGTACTTTGCCTGCAGCTCATTTAAATCAGTGGATTTACCAGTAGATTTCATGGGCTTTGAGTCAATCTCTGAAATTCACCCACTTTATGTGGGTGTCCTCACCTCTTGCCTCCATTTTCTGTGCTACCCTGAACACTCTTATGCACCTTAATAAATTTATTCATAGAAAGAACAGATGGCAAACTGGAATTTTAGGCAAAGATTGCAGAATATTTGTAGCATGCAAGTTTCAATTTAAAATCATAAATATGTTGTATTTTCATGGCACTGCTGTTTGGGAGCAAGCTAGAGAACAGAACTCTTCACTGAATCTGTAGGATAAATACCTTTGCCTGTTGAATCAGTTTGAAAAGATTATGAAACATAAACAGATTAAGAAAAGGTGTTCACTTACATTACTGAGAATCTGTCTGTACAAAGTCACTATATAAGAAACTGTCAGGAACAGTTTGGTGATAGAATTTTGACTTTGGAAGGTCTCTGGTGTTCTGGAGGATAGATACGGTTTTTAAAACAAAACAAAAAATATCTATTGTCACAACAAAGAGTTCCATTGGAGATTTTAAACTGAAAGGCAAGAGTCAATGTCAGACTTTAAAACGTTACTGGTTGCATATAAAAGTACGAACCTGCAGTTGTTTTTAGCTTGAACGCAAGGGAAGCACATATTTAACAAGACATTTCTTTTTTGATTCTACATCACTTTATCACAGAAAGCAGCAGGCAGACAGTTCCCTGTTCCCAACACACACTGCAAGAGCCCTCAACTCCTACCTGACCCTGTAAAATTTGTAGTGGTCTGCAGTAGCAATTACAAGACCATGTTGTAATTGGCGTTTTGTGCGTTCAGGTAAGACCCCTCTGATTACCTTACGATATTTACAATTCTCTAAGAGTGATGAAGTCAAGAGGGATGAGGCCTTTGTGTGTTACTCTTCCCTCTCAAAAAATCCTGATCCTCCTCCCAGCTGTTAGGCTGTACATCTGAGAGGGACGGTGAGTCTTCACCTTTTTCGGCAGAGCGGAAATCTAACCCCTTCTACTCTTTCCTGGATAAAGGGAGGCCAAAGGTATAAATGCAGCCATTTCATGGTAAGCTCTGTTGTTTTTTGGTCCCTTTCTAAACCTTCATTTTGCTCTGTTCGTTCTCTGAAGGATAATCCCCTTTTAGCAGAGGACTCCAGTCTGGGTGGCAGCAAACGCCTCAGCAAAAGCAATGTTGACATCTCGGGAATCGTGGAGGATGAGGAGCCAAGGCAGCCGCTGCCACGGAAACAAAGTGACTCATCCACCTATGACTGTGATACTATAACCCAACATCATGCTTTCCTTTCTAGGTAACTAGTGTTTGATGACTGAGTAAAAGAAATGGGCTTGCTGTTGAATGGAGCCTGTCAGTGCCAGAGTAATGGAGTTGTTTGTATTGTGTGTGTGTAGTGTTTCTGGAAGTTTGCTCGAAGTCCCTGCCTATTCCTAAAAGAAAAGCATAGATATAGATCCACAGATTGTGGGTCTAGTTTAGACCTACTCAACAGTGGCAACTTTTTTATTCATTTTTTTATTTAGCTATGAGAGTTCTGAATGTGCAAAGCTGTAATGCATGTAGTTCCATTTCTTCAGTGCAGCCCACTCCAATCAAGGAGGATGAATGCTTTGTAATTTTGAATTTCTGTTGCTTTTTTTTCTTTCAAAAGACCCCTCTGACTTCACTTACAGGCTTTCCATTATTCTCTAAAATTGAGATAATTGCTTTTTGGGCTCCCATTGGTCTACAAGCTCTTCAGACTGGTATTAAAATAAAACAAAAAGCTGCATAAACATTCAGCTTAAATGGCAAGGTGGTTGGGGGAAGAGAGTTAACGTAATTTGCTTTCCTGAATCCTAAGAAACCTTTTAAACACAGATATGATGTGAAGATCACCATTCCCTTTGTTTTATTGTTTCTGCAGCTTCTTAGCTATTTGACTGCTTTTTACTTATCTGAATTTTTTGTGCTTTTTTTTTTTTCTTTCCATCTTCTCATTTCTGTATTTCATTGGGAGTGATGCAGAGGGAGAAAAGTTACTGGGTTCCAGCTTTTAGTTCTGCAACAGCTTGAGTATAGTGCAGACTTACCACTGTGCTGTACTTCAGTCTGGCTGTTTTGTTAGTGGCAGCTTAAGATAATTTTATTTTCTTACTTTGGCTGCAGTCTGTATGTGCTTTGCTTAGCTTTTGTTGGTTATTCTGCTTTTATTTCCACACCACGGTTTTGTTTTTTTTTTCTCGATACTAGCACATGCACGCGCCCTCTGAGGCTTGTTTTTTTTTTTTTTTTTTTGGCTCGTCTAGGACTGAAAACGTGTGAAGAGTTTTTTGGTCTGTCACTTTTATCTCTTTCTATAGGAGTAGTACTGTGTAGTGTTTAAAGCATAGAAAGCACAGTATTGGCTTATGTAAAGCACTTAATGCTTGAGGTACATTAGGTTAAACAAAAGATGAAGAAAACGGTCATCTTTTAGGTATTATATTTTCGTTTTCTGGTTATTTGTGATTTTAAACTGAAAGCTTTACACATAGCTTTGCTTAAGCAAGCAGATGGAAAAGTGTTAACCTTCCATTCACTTTTCTAACTGATGAAAATTTAGGCTTTTGCTAAGTTATTGAGGAATAGCTGGAAACGCATAGACTGAAGAAGGCAGAAGAATTCCTTGGTAAATTAAACAGGAAAAAAATCAAACTGAACCAAGTCGTTCCCAGCCCCAAACAGTAAATACACAGAGATTCAAAGCCGCCTGCTTTCTGCATGAGAAATTTGTGTGAGATCATTAGACATCTTTTCCTGTGATCTTACTTAGTGTAATTTGGGGATGGTATCGGAGTTTGAGTAATGAGTTGACAAAGCTCCTCTTTCACACAAATGTCCCAGTTTAGCATACAGTGGTTGCATTTCATTGCATTAACTTATACCTTTTTGCCGGGTGCTTTTGGCACAGAGAGCTGACTTCACTGCCAAACAGATGATGGATTTAATTCCCAAGTTTCTTCATTTCTACCCTGAAGATGCCCTAACCTTGGTCCCTGGAAGTTTGATTAAAAGCATCAGGTTATAAATTGTGCTGAATTAGGACATTAGTGGACTCAAAAGAGAATGTCATTAGGTTCTCAGGTTGAAAGAGATGCCTGGTCTTTTGATCTAGTTCAGGACCGGTCTTCAGGATTTCTGGATTCTGAGCCATGCTTGGCCATTGATGCAGGATGTCACATGTGGGTAACTCATGGGGCTTCAGTTACAGTTCTGTTTAAAGTCAGCATCTCTCACAGTCATGTCCTGCACACACTAAAGGCATGTTCTCCTCTGTCTCATGGCTGGATAAGACGTGTGTATGCTAATATACTGAATTGGAATGTAGTTTCATCTTTAATAGGACTAAAGAAGGGGCACGTCTTTTCTGTCAGCCAGGGACAAGTGATCTGTATTTACCTGTATGTATGTATTGCATAGAAAATAAATGAAAGTTTTAAAATCATTTAAAAGATGAAAAGCTATCCACATACGTTGCTAATTTTTATCTGTAATAGTTGAAAAGTAGTGACCTTTTAGTTCATAGCCTAGGGAACGCATCAGAAAGAGCCTTTTTATGTATCTATATGACATACCTTGACTGCGACCATGTAATGTCATTGTCCTTACACAAGTGGAATAGGTTAGAATTTGTAGCAAGAATTGCAGAATATGCTTACATATGTGTCTATACTGCTAAAGGGGAGGGGAGGTAAACTTGAATCTTCACAGTCCTTGCATAACTTTCTTATGAGTTTTTTAAACTGTAGAAAACGCTTGCATGTTGATGCTAGTAAATTTACTGAACAGCCACAAGATAGAATACATGATAAATGGCTGCTATACTGCGTATCTGTCTACAGTTTAATGCATACTGCTTGGGTCTAGATGCAGATGCTAGAGCTTTCTAAGCAGTCTAGTTTTGGAATGGACTTTTTTTCTGGGTGCTCTCTTCATTAATGTTGAAGCATTGCATTTTCTTTGCCCAGCATCCACTCAAGTGTGTTGAAAGATGATACAGACTTTCCTCCTGTGAATAGCTCCATTCTTTCAGAAGTAAACGTGGGCCGATTTGAATTTGAGGTGTCTGATTTCTTCCTCTTTGGATCGCCGCTTGGTTTGGTGCTGGCCATGAGGAGTACTGTTCTGCCTGGCCTGGACGGTAAGTGCTTTCAGGGTTTAGAACACAGGCTGCTTAAAGACCTTCGGAAACAAAGAGTCTCGTTTAAAAGAAGGTAAATAACAGAGCCTAATCAGAGACTGGGAAGTGGGGTAAGTTCCTTCCTGTAAAAGACAGGAGTGTTAGTGCAGGTCTGTCCTGAGGTATGTGATTATGAGGGTTATTCCCGGGTCATTGGTCATTCTTTGCTTACGCATTTGCAGTAGGTGTATCTTTCTCTCTCCTGTTAGTCATATATTCCATGTCATAAAACATGAAAGTTATACCACGCCAATGAAGAGTCCTTGAAAAAGATAACAAAAATCACCTCTGTGCTTGGTTCAGTGTTGCATCTTGTTCATGTCTGACATCACAGGAAAATTTAGTTCCCAAGCATATTGGTCATGAGCCATTTTTTCCTCTCTGGTAATAGCCAGTGATCAGAGGCATAAAGGAACTTTTTATTTTTAAATGCATCTGGAATTTTTTTTTTCAGTGTTTCTAAGGGCTTACTTTAATTTTCACAGGAGATTAAGCGTGTCTTTTGCCTCTTGGCATCATATAAGATTTGGGCAGCACTGCATCTTCATGAGAAATAATATAGTCAGCTGTCCAATGAGGGAGAAAAATCCATTGCAATAGTAATAAGAGACAACAATTCAGCACTCCGTTTTCTTCTTCGTAAGGGCTTTATTCTATGCACCTTTGAGTAATGTCATTTGAATGAGCTTACAAACTGACCTTATTGCTAGGATAAATTAGGATGGAATGCAAACTGAAAATTATTTTACCTGATGTTAATAAAAAATAAATAATTTTTTTTTGAAGAGCAGATCTTTAGGAGCCTTAGAAATCTGGTAGCTTTTTTAGTGACTGCCATGGACTTCAGAGGGAAACATAATTAAATTCCCACTTTGCGTTTTGTTCCTCATATTTGCAGTAATCAATTCTGATCAAATGAAAAAACAAAAGCACAACGCAGGTAATTCAGAATGAGATTTCAGGGAAATTAAAAACAATTATGGGTGGTGGCTGACTATGAAAACTGCATTGCAATTTTTTTTTTCTGGTGCAGGGATTTCTTTACAAAATTAGCAACACTTCCCTTAGGATGGTGGGGGCTTCTGTTGTTTTTTGAGGGGAGGTGGAGGGAGACTGAGGCTTTTTTGATAGGACTTCCTGTGGAAAGATCTATGAATATCTAGCTAGAGTACATATTTTAGCAAGATGGAGTTGTTTCCATTTAATGAATCAGAACAGCCACATTTACTCTGTAATCACATATGAAACAGAGCTTATATCTGCTTCATCAGATACCTTTTTAGACTCTTGTGAGGGCAGGTGCTGAGTAGCAAGTGCCAGTTGCTGGATAGTAAGTAGAAAATGACAGCGGTGTTTGATAGGAGAGTACATCAGTGGCAAACATCAACACCTCTTTTCCTACAGCCAATGATAGCTGTCCACAGTGACTATGTGTGGCAAGCCCTCCCATCAGTCAGTGCTGATCTGTATAGTTGAAGTCCACGTTTCACCTCAAGGGAATGTAGACTTGTATTGAAAATTTGTGCAGATTTAATTGAGTTAGTTGGCTTTTTGCAAGAGGGATTGCTTTACAGTGGTGCAATTCTTTTGTGTGCTTCTCTGCACAAATCTGAATGTCTTCTCTTGAATACTGTGCAGCATATGAGAGCATTTCTATGCTCAGAAATGCCACAATTACAATTAAAAGTCAGTGTTGGCCATACAAAGACCTTTATGCCGTTTAGAAGTAATTTTGGATTCATAGAAGTAAGAGCTGCCTTCCTGGAACTTTATAGTGTGATGTAGGATCACTGGGAGAGTGGGAGCTCTGCAACTTGATCATGGTCTTTTGCTATCTGAAATCCAGGCAAAGCATGAACAAAGTAAAAGTGAGGTCAGTGTGATTTTTCTCAAGTGGTAATTTTAAAAACAAAGTGGCTTACTGGAGCCTTGAGTATGTTTTGTATGAGGCCATAACGTTCCTTTGAACTTGAAATTCATCTGTTTTACTGGGAATAGTTGTAAGGCAATCGAAGGAAAAACAGACGAATTTGCACTGACTGATAGGAAGGAAATTTCTGAAGGTTAACAGGACCCTGATTGCTGTATATGCTTGTCATTTATTTATGAGTATATTAGTAAAGAGAAAAGATAACATCTTTAAGTTTGGAAGTCTTCCTTTAGCAAGTTGTCTGAGACATGGCTTATATACAGTGAAGCTGGTAAGATTGGGGCAAGTTACGATGTCTTTGTTCAGTGGTTTTCTACTTGCCAGTGCAATTTAAAGCAAACTCTTCTGCACAGTAAATGTTCTTGTTATGCCAGTTAGGAAGAAGTTAAGGTACCACACAGTTACATTTTTGCTTTTAGATACTGAAAAGCAAAAAACAAACACAACCTCTAAGTTCTTCTATAATGTTTTGATGGCTGCTCTGTGCACAGGTCAAGATCCTAGTCTCATTTCTGTTTAAATTTATAGTGGATGAATGAGATAACTATAAAGAATTGTGATTAGCTAGAGCTAGATGGCAAATTTCAATGCACTTAAATATTTTATTAGACTGGGACTTTGTTTCTGAACTCTCTAGCCAGGAGTTCCTTCTTTCTTCAATCTCAGCTCTAGTATCCCTCTAGACACTTTGACAGGGAAAATTCGTATTAATTGCTAGAATTTTAAACTACTGCACATACTTTCTTCAACTTGGCTCTCGCTTTTATACTCCCTCCAGTATCCTGGGGGAGTATAAAAGGGGTCTATCCTGGGGTCTACCTGAAGCATAATCAGTCCCTAGAGGTGTGCTTGATAAGAGAATCCCAATTTAAAATGATAATTATGGCACAGTTGCGAGGGAAATGGATGAAGAGGAACCTCCTATTATGCAGACAGTTGGAGATTAGGTGACAGGAGTCAGATGCCCTTTTTATTGAAATGAAAGTTACAGAGCTAGCTGGAAATGTGAGAAATACGGTCCAAGGTGTTGTTACTTCTTTGATTTGTCAGAGAGACTTTTTTAATTAGCGAAAAAAAAAAGCTTTGAAAAGAAAGAAAATTATATCGAGACATATGTCTGTTCCATGTGCAGAATGGATATGTTCTCTCATATTTTACTTTCGGTGTTTTGGATATTCATTTATCTTTACATTAACAGGAATCTGGCTAAAACCAAATCTTCATTCCACTTTTTTTAATCTCCTTGCCAAATGTCTTTTATTTCTCTTCTATCAAATATTCTGTTGCTCCCAAGTGCATCCTTGACAGTTTTGGATGCCCTCCAGCAGACCTTTCTGTGGTCCTTATGCTGCCTAATCTCAGTCCTTATTTGCTAAATCACTGATTGTTTGTATGTCTCTGCAGAATTCTTCCACCCTGCATGCTGCTTATCCTCATAAGAGGCTTGCTAGCCCATGAAAATTTCCTCAGTGATTTTCAGAAGTCCAAATATATCATGAACGTCTGGTTACATCTGCAAAGTGGCAGCAGCCTGCCTTGGTGTAGTTGTAATGGGAGAGCGTTCAGCACTCCCTTTCAGTGATCAGGTTGCTGACTAGTTGTGCTGACTAAATGCCACTGTAGTCAGAAGCAATCTCCTTTGGCAAGTGATATCTGGTATTCCTTTGCCAAATTGCAAGCGGAGTATGAAAACAGCTGTTAAATCAGAGGATATGCTTTCTCATTGCCACTAAATATCATAATTTACCTGATGCTGACAACTTGCGAGTGAACTCATAACCCTACTGGTTGCATTCTTGGCTTTCTTTGTTTCTGTCCACCTACTGTGCCCGTACACAGGAAAAAATCCCTTCATCATTGATGTAGAGAAGCCACAAAGGAGATCCCTTTCTTTTTCTTTCTTTTCTTCTCCCCCCTCTGCCTCCCCTCAGTGCTGTTTTCTTAAGCATTAGACAAACAGAAAGTTAGCCAAAACTATCCATACAAGCTCTCTGATGGAGAGAAGTGTCATCTTGTCCTGTATTGTCTAGTTCTTAGCAAAATAATGTATTTTAGCTGCTAACACAGTGCTAACAGAAACCTCTGTCGAGCCTATGCCTCTATTACTTATGTTGTGAAAAACTGTGATTATACATTTTACATTTTTGTAGGTGAGATTTTAGTGGGTCACCTGAACAGACGTTTTCTAGGATAATAAATTTACTCTCCAAGTCTGTGCCCCCTTGCTTCTTTTTGCAACGTTACAAGCTTGCTCATGCAAATGTACAGGAAGCATTAGAAGGTGCAGTTAGACAACTAATTTAATTACATTAAGCTGGTCATTTATTTTTGACTCTGACAGTTAATTTTAAACATGGTGAAAAAGAAAGAATAAACCAATATATTACCCACTAGGGAGGGAAGCTGTGCTTGGTATGATAATAACCAATTACTGCTCTACTTCATAATCGCTAAATCTGTAACTATATACATCAAAGTTCTAGGCTAGCCAAAATACAGTTTTAATTATAATGTAGTGCAATGCTTCACCTCATAGAATTTATTTCACACTACTTGGGCTCTGCAAGAGAATTATACTGTCTTTGCAAAGAATTAATTTCTGCTGTATTTAAATGCTGTCACACGGGTGACTTGTTTCCACTTTTTCTGGCAACTGCGAGGAACAAAATACAGCTCTAAAAAAGCCATCAAAAGTAGTCTTGGAACTTTGTCCTCGTGCTGGTATTTCACTTCCGCTTCTCTCTTGTAATGCGATTATCTGGAGTACATGGGAGAATTTATTCCGATTTCATGGAACAGTAAGCTCTGATGGCAGCATTTTGTGTCCTGACACTGTCCTGCTTGGGAGAGTATGGTATGAAAAAAAGTAAAGTACATAATAGTGTTTCGTAGAGGTCTATGAAAAGGTACTTCACAGAGCAATCTTGCAGGTCATAGTTTTTTGCAAGTGACTGACTTAATGCTGGGAATAAGACAGAGGGGGCAAGAAGCTACTATTTGCTTGCTTGTGGGAAAGCAAAACAGTTGTGTGCTGTCCTCAACAAGCAGCCTGATTATCTCCTGCTTCCTTTTCCTTTGCAACCAGATGTGCTAATTGTTTGATGCACAAAGTCATCCTTAGTAGAAAAATCAACATCCAGCAGACATCACAGCAGGTTTTGGTTATCCTGCAGCTGGGAAGCGTAGTAAATGCCACCGATCACAATCTAAAATGTTTAGCAAAGCAAGCTTGGGAAAGAACCAAAGTTCGACTGAATGTTCCCAAAGGCACCCACGCTGTTCACGTTGCGTGACAAAAATCCTCCAGAATTAAACAGATGTTGCACCATTCTCGGAGCGAGTCAGCGAATGCAGAATGCAACACGCACTACATGCCGGAAGAAGAAAAAAGTTTATGGCTTGACAGAACTGGATCATATACCAGTGTCTTATTGAAGGAAGGTTGGTTCCAGAACATTTTTTGAGAGGCTGTGTTGACATCTTCATGACATGAGGATAAGTCTCCCTCTAGACAGTATAGCACAGAGCACGCACAATAAAATGTTGCTTGTGGGCCTGATTCATTACGTCTATCTTAGGCATTGAACTACAGTACCTATATGAGGAGGGGTCTAGTCTTCATATGTGGCCAGCTTGGTCACCCTCTGAATGGGTGTAACACTCTCCCTTTATTATAGGTTTAGCCATGGTTAACGAAGTGCCTGACTTAAGTGCTGTGGTTAAGTGCTTAAACTTATGTGAACTTTACACAGAATTTTAGAAGAATGAACAATCAAAAGGGCTCTTGCTTTCCTTCATGGTGCAGTTTTTTCAGTAGTGGCTGCTGTTACTACTGGTTAGTTTCTGCGGGGCCATTAGCTTATGACAGTAAGATCTTACCTGTTTTCTGTTCACAAAGAGATGTTTACAAAGCTTAGAGGTAGCTGTTGGGTGATGTCAGCTTACATGATTCGCTGTACAAATGCAGTACACGTTTGGTTGCTGGGGCTTTATGCATTGTGGATATCTGACAATACCACGTTTCAATGGTTTACGTGGGCTAAGTATGATTTGGCTCTCTAACAACAGGATAAATTGGAGGACAGGGTGGAAGTTCTCTTTAAATATTAAATCTTCCTTTCTTTCCTCACCACCTCACAAATTACTTAGGATCTTGCGTTGCTTCCCCAGTTAATCATGAGCTAGGACACCCCATTCTATTGCTCTTCTGAGCAATTGAAAGTTTCTCCCTTTTCAGGCAATCCTGCTTTTGTGCCAGTTCAAAAAGATAGGTAAACACATGCCTGATCTTTAGAGTTAATGTTTTCTGGGAACTGAGGCCTTGGCATTGCAATATCTTGAGAAGTCTTTTACTAAGATCAATAAAACATTAATTACTCATTTGAGAAGAAGCATGCTGCCCCTCTGCTCTAGCCTTTATAGAGCAGACCTTGCTGCAAAGTATTGTTCTGATCTGCCTCTGGCAATGCTATTATTACAACTCAGAGGCATTCTTTTAGGCTTAGAGCTTGATTATATCGACATAGTCTACATCAAGATTTGTCTCAACGTGCCATTGATAACAGCAAGCAACATGACGTGCATTTTTAAAGTTCTTCCAGCAACAAGGAAAGGACTTGATAAAACCTGAAGAATGCAATGTTTTCTGGTATAGCTCTTTAATTCGTCGTTCAGATTGCCCAAGTAGCTGTAATTGCAGCAGAGGAAGATGTACAGTGTCAAGTTTGCTCCATTTAAATTTGCTGATGCATAAATGCCTTGGCTGTTGCTTGAAAAGCTTGAAAATAAGGAGGGCCCTTAGCAGTGTATTTTGGTTTTGTTTTATTTTTGATTCCCTGATGCATGCTCCAATAAGACGTGTCACTTAAGACGGATTCCATTAGAAGACTTTGTAACACCTAATACTAGAACTTTAACGGCTTTGTTCATCGTTTCTAATCGAGCATATGTTTGGCTGGTGCATGGGAGCAATGCTGTACCAAACATGTTTCAAAGAAAAAGCATCATGCATTTTATCAGGATTATGAGATCAGTGCAAAGAAACGTAAATTCTATCAAAAGGATGTTTAGAGATTATTGTATAGCACAGCAGGTTTGAAAACTTTAAAGAATGGGTCCTGCTTATATTGAGTTCATGGAAAGCAGACATAACATCTGTTATAAATACTTTAATCATTTCTTTGCTCTTGTAGTTAATAAATTGACTATTGTAACATGTGTGGTGCAGTAATATACAAAGTCTGTTAAGTGTAATTATACCATAATGAATTGATCTGCACACACTGACAAGGTTCAGAGTGATCCAAGTGTGGTTTGGCTCAGTGAGAAGTGCCTAAACCAACTGTTTTACATACCCTAGCAGTGCTTGTATGATCACC